TTTTCCGTGCGAAGCACGAGGCAGGAATGGTGCGTGAGAGCAAGTCTCCCCATTCCACATTCATGCTCTCTATACAGAAGCTGAACGGCAAGTGGCGTATCGCTCACGCTTATGATAAGCTAAGCGCTGCCAACGTTTTGGCACAGACACTGATTTCTAGAAAAGATGTTCTCCAGAACAGCATGGTCGGCTGTACAAAGTATGGCGCACTCGGCTTGGTCGATGGTTGTTATAAGTTGCTCATGAGAGCGAGTAATATTCTATTGACAGCAGTGAGTACTCTGAGCATGATGCTCTGGGAGTGGCTGGTGATACCCCAAGGGCAGTCAAATGCACCAGGAACATTTAACTTGTGACGCAATTTTTTAGGCCCCATCGGAAGTATGCACAGACATACTTCGTCCATAGTTGTGTGGGGCACGGAAGGACAGATGAAATAAACTACTTCATTCATTTAATATAGGCGCTTGAGTGCATGCGCGCGAATAAACTGTGTGCTAACGCAGACAAGTGCATGTTCGGTGCCGAGAAATCTTCTTTTCAAAGTGCTTCATTGAGAAACGTGGCCTTCGAGCGGATCCCGCTAAGGTCAGGAATATTGTAGACTGGCCGGTTTCAAAGAACCGAAAGAACTTGTACAAGTGGCTGGCTTCGCCTGGCATGGCTTTTATCGAATCTCCTAAAGATAGATACGGAATATTCTTGGAATATCGAGCGTCGGGAGGCTTTTGACAGGGCTAAAGATAGCCTCCTTGATGCACCAATACTGAAGTAGCCAGACCCGGATCATCATTTTAGTATCGTCTGTGACGCTTAGAAGTTGCTATTGGCTGTGCACTACTGCAAGCAGACGCCGACGGGCGAGTCCGCGACAAGAAAATACTTGCGCTTAAGTTTGCGCTTTTCAAGTTCAGGGAGCACCTGCATCGTTCAAAGCCGTTTGTGTTCGACAAAGGTCATGCGGTCTTACGCACTGCAACTCAGTCGTCCCACCTCTCGCAAAGGGTCACCAGATCGCTTTCCTTCTTTGCAGACTATAATTTCGAGGTGAAGTAAAAGCCAGGAAAGCAGAATGCTTTGGTTGATGCATTGTCACACAGACCGGATTATGAGCTTGCTCATGTCACGATGGTCATCAGTGACAGATATGATCCGCGCCGCATACTCAGGTACTGATATGCTCAAAGCGCTGCTACGGGTTTTGGGAGCAAGAAGTTTGGAAACCGGACAAGAAGTTTTCGTCGCGATTGCGCGCACGCTTGCGCCAATGTTCGTTGAATAGCGAATTGCTATATTTTATCACCGACTCGACGGATAAGCCACGAATTATAATTCCTCACAATGAAGATTTGAACAACCGTTTCCTCTATGAGACCCACGACACCCCACTTAGCGGTCATCTCGATCGTGAGTGGACCTACAGCTGTGTGTGCTGCCAGTACTGCTGCCCAAACTGTACAAATGGACGAGCACATGTGTGCGCACGTCTGAGACATGTCATGGGGTGAAACATTATCCGAATGCGGCGGCGCCGCTGACCAGTTTGCCGGTACCCTTCGGGTGTTGGAAGTCCATGGGTATGGACTTTGTGTTTTGCCTGCCTAAGGGCTCGGCGGGCAACACGGGAACGTGGTCTTCGCCGACCGTTTAAGCAAGATGGCTCATCTTGCGGCGATGCTGGACCCATGGACCAGAACTGGATGGGGAGGAATGGCCAAGCGGCGAGCTGATGTCAGTCCTTCCACTGTTCGTAAAGAAGTCGATTATAGTCTGTCTCAGACTGAGTGCCTTACGACAAGTTCGCGATTTGATGGCTGTAAACCAAGAGATGCTGAAAATCCAGTCCGATGAAGCAGAAGAAATGTTGAGGTCGAAAACCTCTGTTTACTAAATGCTAAAATCTTCCTACACATGCAGTTTCTGCTAGCTTCAGGACGAAACTCCATCCAAGGTTTACAGGACCTTTAAGGTCGTGGGTAACCGAGGCCTTGCGTTTGTGCTGAACCTTTCAATAAGAATGCACACATACCTGATATGATATGTGGGCTTGCTTAAGCCATACCGTGATCCGGTGCAAAGGAACGCGGAAGCGATGACGCCGAGGCGGCGCACAAAGGCGCATGTCCACCCAGAAGCTGGACCAGCAACTGGTTCTGAACACGGAGTGCTAACATTTCCTTTTTCAATGGCGCCAGGCGTTCCACCGTCGCACGAAGCGACACATTCGTCTGATCGACGGCAAGCTTCGGAGCCACTCCGACAAAGTGCGATAGTCCTTACCGTGAGGCAGTTGGTGCGCAATGCTCCAAGCTCTCGAAGTCTTACGCACAGCGTCATGCGGCCACAGCATGATGCTCACCGGAGACCCGATGGCAACGGACCTTGTCCTTAAGAGCTCAAAGAACATTGCGAGTCACGAGACGGCGATTGACCAAGTCGTCATTGTTTAACGTTGACTTTTCTCGGCGAGAATGGTGGCGTCCACTATCATGTGGAATGTCTTGTGGGTCGACGTCGTCGACAGAGTCAAAACCCAATTCCTTGCGAAGTGGCGGGGATACCTTGACCCCCGAGAGCTCGTGGGAGTTTGAGGTGCCACTTCAGCAAGACTGCCAAGACGTTGTGGAAACTTATGATGAGAGGGATCGGGACGTTGTACACCCCGCGATTCTCGGCAAAAGACCGAGAAACCGAAGGGCCACGAGCTGAGAACATGTTATGACCCTGAGCCGCTGTGGTTGCAGACTTACCCGTGTGAGAGACCGTAGAGCTCGCATGAGTATGATGGATTATTCTATCCAACAAGTTGGTGTTGCGCCGTGAGTTTGGCGAACTTGAACCGAAGATGCCTTTCCACGCGTACGTTCACCTCCTTGCGGCTCTGCTATAAGCTGGACAGCGAGGAAAGTTTGCGGTGCCGCTGCACCCATCTCTCAAAGAGCTCCTCGTCATTGCAGCGATTTTGACAGGGGCGTGCACTACAGGAAATGTCCGCATTGCGGAAACAGAAGTATTCCTTTTTTGAGCTTGATGCCGAGCGCGGTACCTATCCGCTTTGATTTCTTGAGGTACCAAGAATCGTGCTTGACGAGCTTTCCGCTGGCCAAGCTCAGTTTGTGAAGTGGCCGGGGGCCCGATTTTGGAGAAGCCCAACGATCGAACGATCGCGTCCTTCGCTTAAGCAGCGGGATCCGCCGAGCGAAAGCCGTATTCCACACGAGAGTCTAAGACCAAACATGGATACGAGCGCATGACAGCCGCCCTGTGGGTAGCCTCCAAATGCTTCTGCTGTGACTCGTCGTGATATACCACTTTCTCCGTGGATGTCCAGAGGACGGGGAACGGACACCGTGTCCGCAAGGTTTGAGCAGGGCTCACATCGCGCCGTTGGTACACCTGGCCCTCCACTCCTTCTCATGCTAGGGAATGAATCCCCGACAAAGTATTCGTCGCCTATTGTGAGCGGTGTGTGCGGCGCTCGGTTGTCGAGGGCTTGGGATGTGCCTATCTAGAGCACGCGGACATGCTGTCGGGAGTTGAATCGCGTGCAGGAGACGAAGAAGAGGTCTGCCCGTGGGCGCTCCCGAAACCAACGAGGCTGATCTTTCGTGTCATAGACACAATGATCATTGAGCAGAGAATGTTTCGAGCCGGTCCTGGGGGCGTAGAGGTGACTTTGACGCGCGAGCCTCGTACGAGGCGATAGTTCAATGTGACTTTTGCGTCTTCACAATTTAAACGGGGGGGGGTGCCCGGAGTGTAACGGGATTACACTTAACCTGGTATGAAGGGGTGGGTCACACAAAATGGTGTGAACAAACGATGAGATGGCTACACCGAAATGAGAAGCCACTACGCGGCGGGACTGTCAGTAGTTATGCATTTTAATGAGGTTTTACTAGTCTATTAGGAAACCTCCAGATTTAGATACAGGCGACTTTGCTGCAAATAATACAAAAGAAATACAGTTTACATTTTAAACGAAAAAGTTTATTAGCCTTTGGGATTAGGTTGTAATTACTCTTAGAGTATGTGGATTGCGATTCGCAACACTCGTACTAGTTCTAAGTATAGAACGAGATCGCCGACCTTAACCAAGCTTTCTCTAAGCAAAAGAGCTACCGCAGCTCCGCTGCAGCTCGGCCTTACCCCAAGGCTTGATGTATCCCAGCACAAACTTCAAATGTATTGATACCTTATGATGGACTGCGAGTTTGAAATGCTGTACAAGGCACATGATATAGGCCACCCCAGAAGTAAACAAACATACAGCACAGTGACTGCTACATATTATTTGCTCAATCTGTACATGTTAGTAGACACTATATGCGCACGAATGAAGCGTTAAACGGGTTGATTCTCACTGCATGCGGCGGCATTTTTGTCCAGTCTGCCTAACTTGTCTAACTGGTAGGGTGCTGGCAGTATACCACTTTAAATTTTATACCTGGACTTCTAGAATACGCTTTCGGTAACTCCGGTATTGTGATCTTTGTTCACCAACCGTCTGAGCAAGATGATTCATCTCACTGAATTCAATTCGGTAAAAACCAGGCACACTGTCACTTGGCAAGATGATTAGCCAGCATGGTGTATCAGCAGCTTTTGCATCGGCTAGTTTTTTTCGCCATACAGCAAAGGTTTGTTGAACATTGTTCAGGGTGCTTAACGCCAAATTAGATATGTCAGCTGCCACCATCGACACGCAGATATTTATCCTTTTGAATACTTGCAAGGAGAGAGTGGGGTGCTGGAGCAGATTGCTCCCGTATATTAGGTTCGAGCTGAATAATGCAATAGATTTTTCTACAGACTCTATCTTATTTTTCATAAACAGTTTAATAACCCCGGTTCTTCGTCCGAATCAGAGTAAATGGGTATCTACGACCATATTAAGCCGACCCAGCTTTAAATATGCCTCAAAGGTAGACTCAGCAAGAATGAAAACGGTCTTGGAATGTTCTGTGAAACTTTTGGCAAGGACTTCGCTGTGTGAAACGACTAGTGAGCTGTTTAAATTACAGTCGGGTTTGATTAAAAAAATCGTTTATCACTACCGTTTTAAGATAAAGCAATCTCATGCCATCCATTGTAAGAATCTCGTAGCAAATCAAAGCGTCTTTTAAAGACCGAAACGTTTTGTTGAGATGGAATTGCTGATCTATATTTGTAAAAGCCAGCATTACGGCGTACATGAAGCTTTCTCTTACAGCCTTAGAGGGCGCCTATTGGGAAGCGATGCAGTAGGAATGCTAGCTAAGGCCATCGACCTTACGTTCTATACTAGAACCAGTACGAGTGTGTGGATCGCCGCCACCCCCAAAACCCAAACCCAAGGCAAACATACTCTTCCCGTTCAGACTGTTAACTGTACTACTTCTGTTTTATTTGCGGCAAACTCGCCTACTTTTAAATCTGTAGGTCTTTCAAGTTAAATAGTAAGACCTTATGATAAATCGTCACTACTGACAGTCCCGCAACGTAGTGGCTTCTTGCTAAGGTGTAGCCACACCATCTTGTGTGACCCACCCTGTTATACAAGGGTACATTTTAAACCCGTTACAAGTGACCTTAGAACTATTTGACAATCTTTTAAGGTTTAAGGTTTGAGCGTGCCATGTCGACATAATTTGCAAAACACACATGCGAGTTTGTCTCTGGGCCAGCCCAACACGAAACCATCTTGTGTGACCAGCCCCCTTCATTCCAGGGTACGTGTAAACCCGTAACAAGCGACCCCAGCTCCATTTGACAATCTTCAACAGGGTTAAAGTTCGAGCGTGTCATGTCAACATGATTCGCAATACACCCATGCAAGTGTATTTCTAGGCCATGCCACTACATGACGTCTTTTTTGGGAAGAGTGTTTGGATAGTCGACAATAAACCTGATCGCTTAGTATGCTCTCAAGTCATACATTCTGATAAATAAACCCAACAAGTAACTTTTGGGACTTACGCCCCGCTTGACCATTTTGAAAATTTGCTTATATTCAAGCAAGAATTTATCACTGTTTGCAAGTACTTGGTCTGTGTCTCCACTTCTAATTTCTCGTTCTTTACACGACTATGGACCATGATCTCACATAATTAGGTGTATTTATCTTATAGCCACGTTTGGCCTTTATAGATGCGTCACCAGACGATTGATTGTCGCTGGTGTGTAAGACAACCCTCTGGCATCAACCCACATAGCCATTTGTATGAGTACTCACCTCAGTGGGAGAAAAATTGCTGTCACGTTTAGCAGCAGTTGATGTTTCTATTAACCAGGTCAAGCGCACTGAACAAATTGCAGCCAGCCATTCTACACTCCTTTTAGAATTTTGTATTTGCACCCTAGTTGTGACTGCGTCTTACTTTATCATATGCAATAACCATCTGCCGCTTGACCAAGGAAGTCGGTGCCGAGTTTGGACGTAATTCTTCCTCGCACCAAACCTGCTTCGTGCTTTGCATGGAAGAGTAGTTAAAAAGCTGACACTTTTTTCCTGCAAAAGGACATTGGTGGCAACAAAATATTTGGCTTCTGGAACTATAACAATTTCATACCGCACTCTCCTCTCCAGGGTAACACGCGTGGTGGGTCTCTTATCATAACGCTGAATTAGGCACGCAAATAGAACGCCCACACCTCGCACCATGTACCTGCGAATTTAAATCATTTATTTTGAGAATGACGAAATGGTAATTTCAACTTCTTCTCTAGTACTAACCAAACCATTCCGGTGAGTTTGTTTCGCAATTTCTCGCACAAAATCACCAAATTGTATTCTATCGCTATGTAAAAAACCTATGCCTGTGGACACATAAAACCATACAAAATTTTTGCGGTCCAAAACTTAACCCAAAGAAAAAATATTTTTTTTCGCCACTCACCCATTAAGTTTTTCCGCTTAGCTTGGAACAGTGGTGACAGTTAAGGCAATGTTTCAAATGTGAATAGCCGTAGCTTCAGGGCTAGTTGACACTTAAAGTCCCCCTTAAATCAAGTGGTTTTTGCACGGGAGGTTAGGAAAATTTCAACGGTCTACCGTCCCTGATACAGGAGAGGACTCGTCGGGTTACGCCATGAAAACTACGGTATCCACTCGTCCCATCCCACCTTTCCTGCGTTCACTCTGGGGCCACAACACAAAGTTGTTATTCCGCCTCCTGAGACGCCTGTTCAATATCACTTTAATTTTCGAGTTCTACATGAGGCACTGAGCAATACCATCGCTCACAATATTTGAAAATTTGAGTTATGTACAGAAGGTGTCGCGACTTTGTACACGCGCCGATAATGCTTTTCTTCTCGGTACTCATGAGTTGCGTAAGTCCCACGTTGAGAAAGTTTTGTGAGCTGGAACGGTATCGTCTTTCGTTTGATCTATAAATCGTGACTTTGAAGACACGCTAAAACCGGATGATATCGATTTTAAAATCAAAGACCAGGACAGATTATCAATCCACGGTATCAAACTCCCGAAATTTCCCTGAAATCGTCATCAAACTATCAAAAGAATACATTTACCAGTATTCTCGCTGCAAGACACAGAATTGTAATAACTGTATCTTACATCGTAGTACCTCTGCGTACTGTCAACTATGTTGACTGTAGTGCGTCGTAAGTCGTGCGTCGTGTATCCTACATAATTTGGAAGATACTCTTGATTCTAGCAGATGTTTTCAGAGCTTTTCAAAGTCAGAGATTCTGATAGCAACAATCAACATGTGTAGGCTTTCCCCCTCCTATTGAGAGAGATACGATTTTATTGAGACTGCACTCTTTTGACCACAATCTCTACGAGATAAAACTCAAGTAGTTCCCAGTATCCCCTTCTCACTTCCTAATGGGTACGTCGTCCGCCGTTGTTCGGGAGATGACACTTATCGTCGCTCAGCCGAGAGCAAAGAGGAAAACCACAACTGTAGATATTTCTACTACCGCATTTGTAGCATTCGCGAGTTCTGTGGGGCTGCTCATCCGCTCCAAAACCGCTCTCTTCTTGCCTAGTTAGCTGGGGTGTATCGCCTTTGGCGCTTTCGGAGAGCTCGTATTTACACCACCCAATACAATTTCCCCTCGCGACTCCAATGTTCTGAGTTGAAGTCGGCCACTTCCTCGAACACAACAGGGGGCTTAGAAAATCTCGGTCTAAGCTGTTCTTGTAAGTAGATATAATATGATGATGGTAACCGTTGCCGCTCTCAAGAGAGGGTGTGACGCAATTGCAGCATTTTGGTTTCGTAACTCCTAGACATAGCTCGCTAATTCTCGCCTTGTTTATCGAATGAACAGAAGCTTCAACGCACTCTATACTTCTGGTTAGGAGGCGAAAATTTATGCGACTTCTGTTGCTTCAAGCCTTTGAAATATTGGAGCTTCTCGCTAACCTAGCTAGAACACGTTTTTGTCCATTTTCGCGCTCGACCCTCCTGGCTTGGATGCCGCAAATGCAACGCGCTATTTCTTTGTTTAAAGCGTGATCAATTTCGCAGCCATCGCAACTTTACTCATTCAGAAGAAGAGATTTTTAACATTAAAACATTTAAAGAGCTGGATCTCGAAATCAGGGCCTAACAATCTCCTCTTTTACCGGCGCCCTGATGGAGTGTAGCAGTAGGAATTTCATTTGTGCATTCCAAACGCTGGTTAGCTCTTCTAGGCGAGAAGTCACCGGATCTACTCCTTTTACAGCGAATTGCTTGACTCTTACGATACTACCAACCTATGTCAGCTGATCAAGTTGAAGCGGAGACTGGCACTGTAACGGGGTTACACGTACCCTGGTAACAGGTGTGTGTGCCACACGAGATGTGCATGGTGTGACTGCACCCAAACAAGAATACGGTATGTGGCTAGGTAGTCAGTAGTTATGCATGTATTTAGGTTTTACTATATATAGTAAAATCTAAACATTTGAAATTAGGCGGTTAAGCCGCAGATAAAAATAAATAAAAATCAGTTTTGAAAATAAATCGAATAGTTTTAAAGCCTTAGTTACGATACTTACTAATCTTGGAGGTAGCGGATTGCGATCCGCTATACTCGTATTTGTTCTTATAAGGAGCGAAAGGGATGGTGAACGAAATTATGCTTCCCCAAGCGCAAAGATACGGCAGCCCCGCTGCAGGCACCCAAACAGCTCAAGTATTATTCTCGGAGATAAAACAATCCTTCTCCTCAATTGTCTATAAGTTCTGATGAGTGCAAGTGGCGTGCCGTGCACTTTGCACTGTAAAGGCGTTAGTTTCAATTCGAAGCCTCTAACGTGATCGTATATAAGGTATTCTCCTGCAGTTTTACAACTACATACGTTAAGAATCAATGCCATCAATTATAATATTAAGTGTATTTATCTCATGCAGCTTCTTCTTGCATGACGTGCGGCTGGCTGCCCACGTACTCACTTTCGCGAAGTCCAATTACACTTACATAATTATCCTTTTGATGGCTTAAATATTCACGAATGCTGTGACGGGGCACACGGCACCTTGCACAGAGGAAGCTTGACTTCCAAGAGTATACAATCTCTAA